AAAGGAATGGATTCATAAGATTTGGCTGGTAGCTTTTGGAATAGAGCTTACCAATTTGAGAAGGAAAATGACATTGACCTACTTACAAGGTCACAGGGAAAAATATGTCAAGCAACTTCTGAAGAATCAAAAAGCGTAGATTCTTATAATAATATTTTGCTGGTAGTTTCAACAGATTGAGCCAACAAAGTTTGCGAGGGAAATATTTTTAGTGCAATATAATATTTAATGAGAATATTTTGCTATGACTGCTTAAATATTCAGGTGAGCGATACAGGCCCTCTTGGGCCTCTTGTTTTTAATCTCAATTGAAAGCTTTTTAACTTGCACTGTCAGCTTTAAGCACGAGAAAGCTTTCATGAATACGGGTCCCCGCCAGGAGTCTTGGCCTTCAAAAGTAACCTACATATAGACGGCAACATCTAAAGTAACCTACATATATATAGACAGCAACATCTAAAGTAATTTAAGTGTATCCTGCTGTTGTGTACCTGTCCTCCATGATTGATGTCATGTGAGTAGAAAAAAATCACTTGTTATATTGTCACATGATACGGTTTGATAGTAATGACATACCCTAGAATCTATATTGGGACATGCAATTTGAAAGGCAAAGACAGGTCTATTGTAAAGCACAGGGAGGAAAGGTTTAAATGATAAATGATTTTTTTTCTCAAATATTAATACAGAAGATTTGCTGACTGGTACAGGTAGGGTTTATGTATAATTTCTAATCAGAACGATGCTTGTGAGATTTGTCAAAATATTTAATCTGTTGAAATGAAATAATTATTTTTAAAAAAGTTTGAGAACCAGTGTTAAAGATATGGTAGTATGGAATGATAAATCTGTGAAGTTCTCTATATATGTAAATGGAATCTAAACTATCTTGATAACATCATGACAGAACCATTATTCTAAATATATACAGCTTATATGAATATATTAGTCTATGATAGCCTGAATTGCATACATTCAATGCAGGCCATAACTTGGCCTGATCCACAAGTGACATCTGCCTGGAGCTAGCCATATCAGTTTCAGCTGCAGGATCAAATCGATGCTCCAGGTCTGATCGATATCGTTATATTTCATGATTTTAGATATTTTAAATTTTTACATTATCTTACATGATTTTAGATATTTTAGATATTTTAAATATTTTAGATATTATACATATTTTAAAACTTAACATTAACGGACCGATTATGAAAAATTTCAAAATATAATATCTTTGAGCTACGGTTCCAGCATGTTAATGTGTTCTAAATCGACTTCCAGTTTGACTGACTATCGGCAGCTAGATCATGCACCTAGTGCCCCGGATGATTTAAGAGTTTAAATTATTTAAAATAGTTCTACAATAATCATTGACAGTGTGAAGTGCAGGGGTGTACCAATTGGATGACCCAGACAGAGGCTAGTAAATCATATATCGGGGTTAACTCATTCACCACTGAAATTTCATATTGAACTATTCCAACCTTTGATTTGGAAGAGTTCAAATGTGTCTCAAGGGGTGAATGAGTTAATGCCAAGTTTCAAATTAAAATCATCCTCGAAATGATAGGTAAAGCCAGTAGATATTTCACAATCTGCCTTCTTGGTATTCTAAAAACTGTTACTCAACAACACAATGGCATACTGACAAGCTTTTGTACTGCCTTCACGTTGACTTCACCACTTCTAGTACAATGTGAACAGGAAACTTCCTATACAGCATGCTATAATTGATCATGTGACCCATGATGAGCCGTTTTTTTTTGTCATTTGTGGACAGGGTAGGGGTCATTTTGTCAGCATGCATTAACATGTACATGCAGTTCTAGAAGATGAAGAATCTTTTTTTTTATCATGTATTTTTTAGAAACTAAATAAAAATGTAAGGTTAAAACTCTACATTTATGATTTTGTAGTGGGGCTAAAATAAGAGCACTGGGCATCATAGCTCAAGGTCTCCGTCAATCGAACATTTCAAAATAAAAAAAAACCCGATTGGACCTTGAGCGGTGCTAGAGTGGGGCTAGAATTGGTCAATTACCTGTGACTGCATAGCTCAGTTTGTAAGAACATTTGGCTAAAGTAAGCAGGTCCCAAGTTTGAATCCTGGTCTATCCCTGCTGCAATTTCTCTCTCCTGTCAAGTCACAGGTGCCTTCGATTAAATCCTTGTCTAGTGTGTTTCCTTGGCAGTGGGGATACCCAAGCATGCATTGTAAATAGTGTTGTCTTTTGGGGATGAAGACTTAACCCTTTCACCCCTATGCCACTTTAGTAAACTCTAGACTACCACACATTGATCTGGATGAGTCCATTAGGGTCTACAGTGGAAAAAGGGTTAAAAAAGAGGGGAGGAACTGGGATGTAGTGAGTCTGGACCTGGCCAATCATTTATGACTGGGTAGCTCAATTCATACATGCAAACATATTTTATTGACACTGAATAGTCAAAGGGATTAGGCACAAGTTCTTACAACTTATATATAATTACTAGGCCCTCTCCCAAGCTCAATTAGTTGGAGCGTCCATCTTAAGAGTTTGGTCCTGGCTTGAATCGTGGTCTGAGCCCATTACATTTTATGTCCCGTTACTATTTTAACACTTTTAATCTAAGTGACTGCTACTGACATTGTATATTTTTTACAGATTCTCCCTGGAGCTCGCAGTCATGTCATTTCTAATTGACCCATGAAGCCATGTCAATACTGAATTCTTGACCACATATGAAACAGAATGTTTAGGACCTTCGTTTGAAGGATTAACGAGAGGTGATTACTATTCTGACCCATCATTTGAAGTGCAGGATGAACTGAATCTCATCTGGAACAGATTTGTAGAGGATTTTGTATCTCATGTTTATATTTGAAGAAGGAATAAAAAGTCTTTGAAGAAAACATTCAAGATGACAACTCCAGATTTTTTGGCTGTATGTTGCATTAACAGTTCAAGTACAGTTGCGAAAAACACTTCTGATGCAGAAAAGAAAGACGTTCTTCTGGTTGGTCAACTAATGCTTATCGTTACCGTGGTGATGTGCGTCGTCAGCATGTTGGGCGTGTGCTATCTGGTTTTGCCACGGGGATCAACGTTATTTCGAAACTCCAACCGGCTATTGGCTGGACCAAACCTCAATAGCATTATCAGATGCATTGTGGCAACAAATCTTCTGGCTTCACTAGGTAAGGACTGAGGGTACGATACGAATGTCTTCTCTGATCTATCTCTCTTTAATTGAAATTTAAGTTTTTAAGTTCCTCTTTAAAATTTTATTTACTAAATAAAACTTATAAATTAAAATCATGATGATATGGGGATGAACTAAATAGCTTTCTTGTTTGTGCTAATATCTCAGTTAATGTGTATAATATTTATTTTATCTGACAGATAGGCTAATGATGGAGATCATTTCAGCAAATTTTTATTTTGGAGGAAGGGGAGTGGGCGGGGAGAAACAGAAGTGGGCGGGGAGAAATGGAAGTGGGCTGGGAGAAACGGAAGTGGGCAGGGAGAAACAAAAGTGGGCGGGGAGAAACAGAAGTGGGCGGGGAGAAACAGAAGTGGGCGGGGAGAAACAGAAGTGGGCCGGGAGAAATGGAAGTGGGCTGGGAGAGGAAGGGGAAGGGAGGATGGGAATGGAGGTAGGGTGTCCGGTAGGGATAAAGTGATTTAACTTATGAAATGAAATTATTTTCAATTATTATTTATTTTGATGAGGAATTTTAATTGACAAAAATCTTCAAACATTTGCAACAAAGATTGCTGAAAACTAGCATGCATTTATTTTGTTTTAATTTTTAATTTTATCTCAAATGGATAAAGCATTAGTGACGATATCTTTCCTTGACATTTAACTATATACAACACAGTATGCATTGGGCTGTTTTCAGGTCTGCTGGTACGGAGTGTAGTTTGGCTGGCAAAAGAATACCCGTCACTTAAGTCTGTCGGTCTGGACGGTAGACACATCTTTTGTATCATATCTACAGTAAGTCTTAACCACACAAAACAAACCCTTTCTTTTTTTCCCCCAAACATTCTTTTTGATTTATTCCAAATTACATTTGAAAGAAAACATCTTTTTCAGTAACACAAATTTGGTTTATCTGGTTTAAATTTGAGAAAAATATAGCAATCACAAATCAATAAAGCAGGATTTTGGAATAGTCTTTTATATAGAATGAAAGAATAAATGAGTTGGAGTTTGAGTTTGAGAGAAGAAATGAAAAAGAAAGAGAGAATGAAGGGTAGGAGGCCTCCTGCGTGAGGTTACATTATGTAACAGGGATGAGCCCGGGGCACCCCAATCCTGGTATCCCTCCCAAAAGATGCTGGGGGAACAAATCCAATTTGAACCTTAAAAAAACACCAAAAAAGCCCTTTCTCATCCATGATATTTACCCATCATTTGATGCAATTCAGCTAAAGTACTGATCAATTTAGATTTTAATTGAAAAAAATAGGATTACATACTTATACTCTCTGTAACAACTCATAAATGTATTTTAAAATGTATTCATAATTTGCTACTTCAGTACAGACTATAGATATAATGGATTTGGTACAAATCTGCAAGATACACAACTGGTTAAAAAACGAAAGCATGGTGTTCTTTCAGCAACAGAACGATGTTTTGTTTTAAGTTAAGCCATCTAGATATCTTGATATTTTGTTATGTTTACATCATATTCCATAATCATGTGTTATAATATTCATCTTTAATTCACTCATGAATACATAATTCTTTATAAAAAACACCAATACAGAATCACAGTACATTTCAACTACATGCTATTTACTATTGTGCCTAATTCAGAAACAAAGTTGTTCGTAGTATTTAAACTTGGGTTTATGTTGTTTTGCAACCATTTAGCTTATTTGCTTATGTCGGAGACAAAAATATACTTTTTTTTATGAGATGGAGACAAAATTAGGGAGGGGGCTTAATTGCAGGCACCCACCCTGTTCCCAGGACATTTACAAAAGTGGGGAGGGGGCTTATTTGCGGTAAAATACGGTAGTCACCTTATGATAACATGGAGTCAAATGTGTTGACAACATTTAAACAACTTCTTCTGAATACCCAAAAGGCCTTAAGTAACGATATTTGGCCACTTACAGGCTTAGATAAAGAGCTATGATGTTTTGTTCAAATTAATAACCTTCACCCATATTCAAGGTCACGGGGTTCAAAAATGTTGAAAATTTAAGCAACTTCCTCTGAATAACGAAAAGGCGTATAAGGATGATATTTGGCCAGATACATGTTTAGATAAAGATCAATAATGCTTGTCCAAATTAATAACCTTCACTCATATTCAAGGTCACATGGTTCAGATGTGTAGTGAAAACATTTAAACAACTTCTTTTTAATAACCAAAATGCATATGGTGGTGGTATTTGACCAGTAGCATGCTCAGATGAAGAGCTATCAAGTTTGCTCATGTGATTGACCTTCACCCACTTTCAAGGTCACATGGTCAAATGTGTATAAACAATTTAAATGACCTCTTCTCAATAAACAAAAGGTCTAGGATGATTATATTTGGCAAGTAGCATGCTTGGATGAAGCGCTATAAAGTTTGTTCAACTTAATGACCTAGTTAGAATTTAAAGGTCACATGGATAAAATGTGTTTAAAACATTTAATAGGTTCTTTTGAATGACTTACCTAGATTCATGTGCTAATATTTTGCCAGTAGGTTTGTTTTAGTCCAGTTTTAAGGTTACAAGTATGAGATTAATATCAGGTGAGCAATGCCATCCGCGATACTCCAGGGGTTACGCTCACTTTTGCTCTCTGCACCCCTGGAATGTGTCATAGCAAAGTTGAAGGCACACAGTTACCTATTTGATTGGTGTCAGGTAAAAAAAAACCTAACCAATCACTAGGCTGATACTTGTCCTTTGGATATAACAGAGGAGCGACGCCCGACTTCAAAGCCAATAAGTTTTACCGTTATGGAACCTCAAGATTCTTTTGATGTACCTCAAAGGATCAAACTAGCCTTCTCCTCTCATCCACAAGCCAATGCACACTGAGCCTTCGATTTTGCTATGACATATGGTATTCCAGGGGTGCAAAGAGCGTAAGGGAAACATCCCCTGGATATCGAGGATGGAGCAATGTAGGCCCAATATCTCTTTTTCAGGCTTATATTCACCATGACAGAAGTTCATAAATGATAGATGTTATGTAGTCAATATAACTGCAGTACATTCATTTATCTTTAGCTAGCAGGAAATTCTGCTCGTCATGTAACAAAATTGAGAAGATACATCCATAAAAGTTTTGGTTTACAAGTGATGCCAGTGAATGACCAACAACAGGGGTTGTATAGTAAATGATGCCAGTGAATGACCAATAACAAGGGTTATATAGTAAATGATGCCAGTGAATGACCAACAACCGGGGTTATATAGTAGATGATGCCATGTAATGACAAACAACAGGTGTAATATAGTAAATGATGCCAGTGAATGACCAATAACAGGGGTTATATAGTAAATGATGCCATGTAATGACCAACAACAGGGGTTATACAGTAAATGATGCCAGTGAATGACCAACAACCGGGGTTGTATAGTAAATGATGCCATGTAATGACAAACAACAGGGGTAATATAGTAAATGATGCCAGTGAATGACCAACAACAGGGGTTATATAGTAAATGATGCCATGTAATGACCAACAACAGGGGTTATATAGTATGTGATGCCAGTGAATGACCAACAACAGGGGTTATACAGTAAATGATGCCATGTAATGACCAACAACAGGGGTTGTATAGTAAATGATGCCAGTGAATGACCAATAACAGGGGTTATATAGTAAATGATGCCAGTGAATGACCCACAACAGGGGTTGTATAGTAAATGATGCCAGTGAATGACCAATAACAGGGGTTATATAGTAAATGATGCCAGTGTATGACCAACAACAGGGGTTGTATAGTAAATGATGCCAGTGAATGACCAGCAGCAGGGGTTGTATAGTAAATGATGCCATGTAATGACCAACAACAGGGGTTATATAGTAATGATGCCATGTAATGACCAACAACAGGGGTTGTATAGTAAATGATGCCATGTAATGACCAAGAACAGGGGTTATATAGTAAATGATGCCAGTGTATGACCAACAACAGGGGTTGTATAGTAAATGATGCCACTGAATGACCAGCAGCAGGGGTTGTATAGTAAATGCTGCCATGTAATGACCAACAACAGGGGTTATACAGTAAATGATGCCATGTAATGACCAACAATAGGGGGTGTATAGTAAATGATGCCATGTAATGACCAAAAACAGGGGTAATATAGTAAATGATGCCAGTGAATGACAAACAACAGGGGTTATATAGTAAATGATGCCATGTAATGACCAACAATAGGGGTTGTATAGTAAATGATGCCATGTAATGACCAACAACAGGGGTAATATAGTAAATGATGCCAGTGAATGACCAACAACAGGGGTTATACAGTAAATGATGCTATGTAATGGCCAACAACAGGGGTTATATAGTAAATGATGCCAGTGAATGACCAACAACCGGGGTTGTATAGTAAATGATGCCATGTAATGACCAACAATAGGGGTAATATAGTTAATGATGCCAGTGAATGACCAACAACAGGGGTTATACAGTAAATGATGCTATGTAATGGCCAACAACAGGGGTTATACAGTAAATGATGTCAGTGAATGACCAACAACAGGGGTTATACAGTAAATGATGCCATGTAATGACTAGAATGACTGAGGACTGTTTATGTTATGTTTCTTTAGGTGTGGATCCAGTACTTTTTCCTGTGTAACTTTTTCTGGCACTTACTGTATGCAGTAGAAGCTTTATTGGTGTCAAAGAACAAGGAGGTGTAAGTGTTTCTCTTTAACATGTCACTGTATAGATTTCCTCATTCACAATCCCATCTTGCCTTCTTGAATTACAATACTGTATACCAGGACATTTTTGCCTAGTCAAATTTTCGCCCTTTGCCGTAAAATCCTTTTTCGCCCAATATTGCCCTTTTACATTAAATCACTATGTATAATATAAGTTGTTTAAAATTGTTAGCTGTAATGATTAATTCGCCCTCACGGTACACAGATGTTTTACACTAACATAATTAAATTTCACGGTACACAGATGTTTTACACTAACATAATTAAATTGTTGAATGATCCATGTTTGATTTTTGTTTTCAAATGTTTTTTTATGCCCCCACCATAAAATGTAAAGTTGCCCATGTCCGTCGTCCCGTCGCATCACGTCGCATCCCGTCGCATCGCGCCCCATCAAACGCTGAAACTAATTTCACATGCTGTGGGGGGCATTCATGTCTTACAGACATTTTCTAGTTTATTGTTATGATTAAGAAGTAAAGATATTGCAAAAAAATGTTCAAGAAAAAAAGGTCTGTTTAAAAACAAGTATAACCTGGTCCTAGTAAAATCTATATACCTTGTACACTAAAATTCTTCTATTTCGTTTGCCCTCCAAATAGCCTTCAACATATCTCTACATCCTTTTTTTCTATTTTCTTAAATTCTTAAAAAAATGTTTTTAATTTGTTTTTAAATTGAATCAAGGGTAACTAAATCCAGACTAATCCAGATTTATCAGGACAAAGTTTTAAAAGCAGGAAAGTTAATGCCCTGGCAGGAAAATTAATGCCCGGACAGGAAAGTTAATGCCCTGACAGGACAGTTGATGCCCTGACAGGAAAGTTAATGCCCTGACAGGAAAGTTAATGCCCTGACAGGACAGTTAATGCCCTGACAGGAAAGTTAATGCCCTGACAGGAAAATTAATGCCCTGACAGGACAGTTAATCAGAGGGTGAAAGGATAGTCCTTCCAAAAGTCAGACATTTCGCAGGCTATTGAGTGGATTTTATTAAATGGATTTGGTTAAGCCCAATTCTGAATTTCAGCAGTACATTCTTTCAGGTAGGGTGTATTTTTTCCAGGTTGATATGGGGAGTAGGTCACACATATTTGTTGTTTTGGCCTATAATCAAGAATTCACAATAAAAGCATTAATAGTAAGGAAGTTCCACTCTGCAATTATTGACTGTTCTGGAGGTCATCGAAAGGTTTAATAACCCCAAAAAGTATTTTATTTATATATATATACTATATACAAATGTAATATACAATTTTATACTAACCAATATGTACTATATGTAGGTTTTCAATTTTCCAGTCATTTGGCATTGAAGTATTTCCTTGGCTGGTTCCTTCCAGGTGCCTTTTGCATAGGTGGCGCTGTCACAACGTACTTTCCTGGACTCAACAGGTGAAGTGTTGCATTTATCAGAAAACGAATGAAAATGTGTGGAGGGTGGAATGTCTACTTGACAGTGGATGTGCATTGTGCCACTTATCACCCCAGTTTGTTTAAACATTTTATACTCCCCTTCTCCCCACTATGTGAAGTTTGGGTGGGGATGGGGGGGG